AGGTCACACAGCAGCTCGCAAGAGCATTCTTTTTTGCTTTTGCACGAGATGCGTAGGCAGCTTCTTTTTACCTGCCTGCCTGTTGCTTCTACCAAAGAATGTGGTGGGCGGATGCTCTTTTTGCTTAGCGTTGCTGCTACCCCACCCAGGAACGCGCATCTTAACGAAACCCTCAAATCAATCAATATCGAAGCAGCTGCGACGTCACAAAGCCCAGAAGTGCTCCCTTTATCTTTTTTAGTCTCCTCGTAAGACTAGTTTGTCAAGGCACAACACAAGTCTACTCTCGGTCTCTACTTAATTGTGTACCATCGCAGCGTCCCGCAAACTCAGGAACCGCACGGAGCAGGATTCGTAATTTTATCAGTATACCCGGAGTGAGGGGAAGGCGGATACGTACCATGTCGCACTCCTTGGCGGCGAGACCAGATCAGGAAGCTGGTGATATCCAAGGTACCTCAACGTCTCGGCGTCTTCTTGGCTGCCGTTGAACGACACTCCGCATACTCGTTATGAACCAAGCGCCGGATGTCATGGCGATATCTCTATGCGAAACTGCGAGATGAACTCGAACCGTTGCATCATCATTTGCTTGGCCTTCATCGCACGATAAGGTTCTGACAGCGTCCATCAATAGGTATATGATAGCTTCGGACTGACCGCGGAGGCTTCTTGTCAGCACTGAAGTCAACTCTTGCACATCATGAAGTGGACGAAAGTGTTGCTCGCCGCTCAATTGGCTGCAGCGACTCCCTTCCAGCCTCGCGACAGCTATGTGACGCGCAGTGCTAAAGCCAGCTACGATGGCTACCACGTCTATTCAGTCACACCGTCTTCTGCTGACGAGGCTCGTGACCTTGGGAAACGCTTCTCCCAATACCACACTCATCCCATTCGCGACACCGTGTCCATCGCTATTCCTCCAGAAGAGGTCGACGCATTCAACGCCCTGGGTCTGAAGGCTCGCCTCGTCAATTCCGATTTGGGCCACTACATACGCGCGACTGATAAGGAAGCCGTATACAAGAGGGCCCTACACAAGCGTGGAGAGTTGCCAGATCTCTCTTGGTTTGACACCTATCATCCGTATGCCGACCATCTCCAATACTGGGACGACCTAGTTAAGGCATTCCCCAAGAACTCCAAAAAGTTTCCAATTGGACAAAGCTACGAGAACCGGACCATCTGGGCATTCCATCTTCATGGAGACGAGAAGAAAGGGTACGGAAAGCAAGAAGAGAAGCCAGTCATCCTTTGGCATGCGACAGTCCATGCTCGAGAGTGGATATCGACCATGGGTAAGAAGGTACATCGCGACTCATGTGAAACACAGCTAACTCTCATAGTGATTGAGTACCTGGCCTACCAACTGATCGACGGTTACAAGAAGGGTGATGCCAATGTGACCACCTTCCTGGACTACTACGACTTCTACCTGGTTCCCTTTCACAACCCCGATGGCTTCTTGTACACGCAAACCAACGACCGTCTATGGCGCAAGAACCGTCAGCCACGCCCAAACATCAACACTACCTGCCTTGGTACTGACGGTAACCGTAACTGGAAGTACGAGTGGGATGCTGAGCCGCCAGAGGGTGGATCGACACCTGACCCATGCGGTCAAACATACCGCGGAGAAGCACCGGGTGACACGCCTGAGAACCAAGCCATGGACAGTCTTTCAGCTCAACTATCGCAAACAGGCGCTGGTATCCGGTCGTTCATCGACTTCCACTCGTACGGCCAGCTCATTCTCACTCCTTATGGCTTCTCTTGCGATCCGCTGCCCGAAACTCTTCCTCGCATGCTTGAGGTTGCTGGCGGTACGGCGAATGCTATCATGGCTGCTAGCACAAAGAACAGCACGTACGAGTTTGGTCCTGGGTGTCAGATCCTTTACTTCTCAACCGGTAACTCGAGAGACCACCACTATGCTGTGCATGGCGCGAACCATTCGTGGACGATGGAGCTGAGTCCTCAAGACCAAGCAGGTGGCGGCTTTGTCCTGCCACCTGATCTGATCTGGCCGGTGGTGAAAGAGCAATGGGCTGGACAGCAGTGGCTTTTGAATGACGTGTGGGTAGACTAGTTGTAGGTGCTGGAGAACTGGATGTAGCCACAGTGATAAGATAGCTATCGGGACCTGAACGATGTCCCGAATCTACTTAGGATGCGACGACCGCGATATTCTCACAACATCCAACAACATCATGATATGAAGTCTACCACATATCTCACAAGGCCATACGCTTCAATGAAAGTTGATCACTAGCCTGAAACACCACAAGACGCGGCAGCTACATGCCATTCACGATGAGCGTGTGTTAGAAAGCCAAATCGAAGTAGTCAAAATGTAATCGAACTCTCTCGACGTTGAGTCCAGCCTCACTACTAGCCGCCTCGGTAAATCTTCGACTGGATCATTTAAGTCTTTTGACGACTGGATCTCTTGTCCAAGTCAGTCCGATGTATGTCTAGCCAGCAATTGTTCTTCCGAAGACTCTCGCAATGACCGCTTCGCAAACGCTACCGCTGTTCGATACTGTTTGTCCGACGCATGAATGACAAGAGAACAAATGACCATTGGAAAAGGCACGATTGGTCCCACAAACCTCAATCCCCGCGTTTCTGAACGTAGTATAGTAGTTGACGCGGTTTGAGCAGATTCAAGTGTTGCTATCACGCTGGCATTGAGACAGCGGAGTTGCGAGTCTTCACTGTGACCTCTACAGGCTCTAAATTATTGCTGCCAATCCATTGACTGGTTATACCTGTTGATGAGTGTGTGGTAGCCCTTCATGGGAACGCCTTTCGGGGGAAAGAGGCGCAATAAATCGCACAAGACAGCAGACATCCTTTCCGTATTATGCCACTCACAGTCGCGAAGATTCAAGACGGGGGTAGCGTATTGATGAAGAAAGTGCTTGAGTTCTGTACTATAAGCTCATCAGGTAGTGGCTTCATGACTGTACAGTTCTAGAGCTCAGAAGATGACAGTATAACTACACGTGTAGAGAAAGTCTTCTAGTTTTGGTGTAAAGAGAATGGGATGTAGAAGCATGAGTTATACATTGGTTGATGAGCTGCGGAGACTTGGTACTGTCTAACAATCGCGGAATAGGTCCCTACATGGGAATGCGTCTAGTGTGTTGCGTGGCATCCAAGCCTTGGGTGTGTGGGCCATGCTCCGAGAATACTTCCAAGAAGTATGCGACGATTGCCTTCGCCCTGTGTCTTCCCACCCTGGAGCCTATCCAGCACCCTGATACTCGCGGAGTATGACCAGTGGACGCAGCGAATGAGCATGACGCATATCCACAACGCTTCCCCAACCTACTATGCGTGGAGGATGATAGCATTTCCGGCAAGGTCTCCTCACTTCAATCGAGGGAAAACCCAAAGACCCGGGAGCCTACAATGACGTTACATCCGCTCATTTGCGTATTGTTGTCCTCATGTAGGCCTCAGGCTTACTCGCCTTTTCCTTGTACGAAGTGTCCTATCCATTCAGACCAAGGAGTGCTTCTCCCCTTATATTGTATTGTATGGGTACGCGCGATCGCGGTGCGGAGGTACTGTAGGTCGGCACGGCTCGTTCTGGATGCGGAGTGGAAGATCGTGGCTCGAAGTCGGGAACGTCGAAGAGGGAGCCTAGAGAACGACGCAGCGTCAGCCGTTCGACAGCTTCGAAGCCTGGGTATCAGTCGTCATTAGTTGCGTTTTATATCATACAAGATCCTGTTGATGGCTTGGAAGAGAACAGCCCAAAGTGGCGAATATATCGAAAACGGCGACGGCCAGATCCTACTTCGTAGGTCCAGCTTCAGCTAATACACATGGCCTCGCTTCATAGAAGGATAAATCTGAACAGGTCTGCAGCCTACATCGAGATAAAACTTTGCAAAGTAGGTGACCCAACATCAACGTAGGCTCCAGGGTGTTCAGATTTTCTCGCTCCTTGGGTAAGGTGGCCTGTGAAAACAAGCTGGACGTCAGGTCTTTGGGAACCAAGATTGTCGGTGAGGCGTTGGAAGTCTACCATTCCTCGGATTCAGACTGAAACGCCTGTGCCATGTCTGGATGCCGATAGATCCCTTCGTAGCGGGGTTCCTTTGAGCAAGACCACTGAATGATGTAAGGGGCAGTGGAATTTCCAACTGCGGTACGTCCGGCAAGGGGCGGCGTTGAACAGCTCAAAGGATGGTTCCACGATAGTTGGGTCCTCTGATATTGGGCGTCTGCGATAGCGCGTGTGAGTCAAACCAGACCCATTGTTCTGGCTCCATAAGCATCAATGCCCAAGGTAGCGGTAAAAGCAATAGAGGGAGTGGCTAGCAGCGGAGAAAGGAAATTGAACACGGTGGTGTGCAGGATCTGGGCGGTACCGTCGACAAGGCCACAATAGACTCCGCTTGTAGTGGGGCTGGGTACACGGTATGATGGCAATCTCAGTACCCCGCCAAAAGTTTTGCAGTGCGGCAAAAGTGACACCGAGGTGGTTTCAGCGCAAAGGCTGCATGTTGGATTATTTTCCAGGTAAAGTCAATCGGGAATGAAGGTAACAATCGAGCCTTGTGCAAAAGCAAAAGCTGTAGCGCGTAGGTGACGCGGGTCAACTGGAACGAAAAGGGCTGATGGACAGCAATGACGATGCACCAAAAGACTCGCGTGAGGCAACTGCGGCTGTGGCGAGCTCACAGTGGGCGGTCAGGGCGGTTGGAAGGGCTCCATGGCATGTGGGCCAATGAAGAGGACCCGTTTTGCCTCTTTCACAGTCGAATTCGTTGCAAGTGAAGGAGTTTTCGTAGCCCAACGGGGGGCTAGCGCCTAAAACTAGCACGGACCCACTCAGCCCTCCAAGTATATTAGCAACACCCAGCCCCTCCATCGCTCACTTTTTCTTCTTCGTCCAACTCATACCTTACACCGCGCGCTGTAAATCTGAGTATCAAACAACTTCCCCTCACCACCACCAAAGCAAACTACACAACACCGCCAACATGGGGTAAGTTATCTCCCCCGCCTTCTGCCCCAAGTCGCTGGAGCCTTTACATCGCCCACTCCAGCTGCCTAGGCCGCCACCTCCACCCTTAGTACAGCTCACTAACAATGTCTGCAGTAAGGAGAAGATGCACATTAACGTGGTCGTTATCGGCCACGTCGACTCCGGAAAGTCCACCACCACCGGCCGTAAGCCCTCCCTCTCCGAACGCCTGCGGGGTCACACAACTTACATTGGGATACAGACTTGATCTACAAGTGCGGTGGTATCGACAAGCGTACTATCGAGAAGTTCGAGAAGGTATGGCATCACTCTCCTTTCACATGGGCATCCGCGACCGCCTAGTGCACCTTTGAGCGCTCAGCCATTTCCGGCTTATCGCGATGAGGGGCATTTTTGGGTGGTGGGGTTGTGCGAACTTTTACGCGCTAGCGCTAGTCCGCATGCGGCTTTCGCGAACCCCAACACCATGACGCACATCCAATTTCCCCAATTCGGCTTCAGGCTGCTAACATGCCTCACAGGAAGCCGCCGAACTCGGTAAGGGTTCCTTCAAGTACGCATGGGTCCTCGACAAATTGAAGGCCGAGCGTGAGCGTGGTATCACCATCGATATCGCTCTCTGGAAGTTCGAGACTCCCAAGGTAAGCTCCGACTGCACCAAGTTTTTACGAGACATGAACTGACCCCCTACTCGTACTACGTCACTGTAATCGACGCCCCCGGTCACCGTGATTTCATCAAGAACATGATTACTGGTACTTCCCAGGCCGACTGCGCCATTCTCATCATTGCCGCCGGTACTGGTGAGTTCGAGGCTGGTATCTCCAAGGATGGCCAGACTCGTGAGCACGCCCTTCTCGCCTACACTCTCGGTGTCAAGCAGCTCATCGTTGCCATCAACAAGATGGACACCACCAAGTGGTCCGAGGAGCGTTACCAGGAGATCATCAAGGAGACCTCCAACTTCATCAAGAAGGTCGGCTACAACCCCAAGCACGTTCCCTTCGTTCCCATCTCCGGCTTCAACGGTGACAACATGATTGAGGCTTCCTCCAACTGCCCCTGGTACAAGGGTTGGGAGAAGGAGACCAAGGCCAAGGCCACTGGTAAGACCCTCCTCGAGGCCATTGACGCCATCGACCCTCCCAGCCGTCCCACCGACAAGCCCCTCCGTCTTCCCCTCCAGGATGTCTACAAGATTGGTGGTATTGGCACGGTGCCCGTCGGTCGTGTCGAGACCGGTATCATCAAGGCCGGTATGGTCGTCACCTTCGCCCCCGCTGGTGTCACCACTGAGGTCAAGTCCGTCGAGATGCACCACGAGCAGCTTGTCGAGGGTGTCCCCGGTGACAACGTCGGCTTCAACGTCAAGAACGTCTCCGTCAAGGAGATCCGTCGTGGCAACGTTGCCGGTGACTCCAAGAACGACCCCCCCAAGGGTGCCGAGTCCTTCAACGCCCAGGTCATCGTCCTCAACCACCCTGGTCAGGTCGGTGCCGGTTACGCACCAGTCCTCGACTGCCACACCGCCCACATTGCTTGCAAGTTCTCTGAGCTCCTCGAGAAGATTGACCGCCGTACCGGAAAGTCTGTTGAGAACTCTCCCAAGTTCATCAAGTCCGGTGACGCCGCCATCGTCAAGATGGTTCCCTCCAAGCCCATGTGCGTTGAGGCTTTCACTGACTACCCTCCCCTCGGTCGTTTCGCTGTCCGTGACATGCGTCAGACCGTTGCCGTCGGTGTCATCAAGTCCGTCGCCAAGGCCGACAAGGCTGGCAAGGTCACCAAGGCCGCCCAGAAGGCTTCCAAGAAATAAGCGCTCTCTTCTTGGGTTGCTTGTTTCTCTTCTTTCGTCTCTAGATACCTGGTTCTGGGGATGTGGTTGCTTCGGAAAAGCTGTGATGACTTTTGAAACGTGTCATGCATAACGGTCTGGGGTCCTGGCGTCGTCCTTCCATAGTTTCCATAATGATCTGAATGAAAACATGGGTGGGATATGAACAATAACACCTCTTCTGCTTTCGTGAGCGACTTGATGGTGTCTCGACTTGCCCCTCCCTTGTCTGTCCTTCCCTCGCATGACTTAATTCACCCGTGTCATCCATCTTCGTTTAGATTCCCACCTGGCGTTGCTACAATTTGTGTTGGCTTCTTCAAAATTATTGTTCAGCTAGACGCCTACATCAACTTGGAGACTGTCTAGTTGTTGAAAGACAATAGCATGTATGCGCCTCGCGTTGTAGCCACTCTCAGTGCTCCAAAGATCAAGGCAGGTTTCGCCGCGGACTCGTGAGCTTTGTTCACCGTGTACCTATCATTTTGGGCTTGGAAGAAGCACCTCACTCATGGAAAATATGAACAGCCTGGAGCCTACATTGACGTTGGATCATCTACTTTGCATATTTTCACATTAATGTAGGCTGCAAACCTGTTCAGGGTTCTTCGTTGTGGAAAGACATGCCTGCCGCGCTGGTGCTTGAGCCAACACCGTGGCTGGCAGCTGGTTGATGGCTTCAAGGAACGACCCACTGTTTTGGATTTAGCGCTGGCCATCACTTCCAAGGTTACTAACCGCATGCAAGTCGCCATCGCTCTACGCTCTCACATTACAATCTCTCTAGAGGAACAATGTCGGCAGATCTTTTTGCAGAGTTCGGAGCAGACCCCCCTCCTACTCAACAGCGATCGCAGCCTGCACCCAACGCCATAACAAGTGCACCTGCTGCGTCAGACTTCAACTTCTTCAACGGCCTGAACAACGCATCGACTTTGGGAACACCGTCGCAGCAACCTTTGTCAACGAGCAATACTCGAAACTTTGGTTCGACTTACGAACAAGCATCTACTGTCGAAGATAATGACGACTGGGGCGATTTTGAGGGCGGCTCATCTCTCGAACCCGTTCCTGCCGCCAAACAAGATCCGTTCGCATTTGCATCGCCTCCGGTCGCTCAACCACAATCAAACGCATGGAACATCACCTCAACTACCAACGATCCCTTTGCCTTTGCATCGCAATCATCTTCGCAGCCATTGGAGCAGACATGGAATCGAGCGCCAATTGTGAAGGCCAAGAAATCAGCCGACCCAAGCGTTTTGTTCGACGCGGAGGATGATCTTGATGATGATGATGACTTTGGCGACTTCGAAGGCGAGCAGGAGACTAAGACGCAGCCTACGGTGCCCGTGGCATCATCTTCAGCGATTGTGGACTTACTAGGTGACATGAGCATAGCACAGGCTCAACCACCTAGCACGAGTAGTAGAGATACTGCTAACGCAAGCCGGGGTTCAAAGCTTCAAGCGACGACGAACAGGAAACCCGGCACAGGCTTTGGTGCTGTGGCCAAGCCAAAGCAACCCGTGCCGCCACCCGCAGTGGCTCAAGAAGATGACGGATGGGATGAATTTGACGACTGGGAGGCGTCCATTCCTACTAAAGCGCCGAGCAAAACTGAAGCTGTGAAGTCGTCTACCAACGCCGAAATGAACATCACACCAGCTCCGATACTTTCCCCCACAACAATAGATCCGCAGGCCGGCGAACTACCTCCTACAAACGTGCCCCCACCTGGCGTGTTACTGTCACTTTTTCCGTCTCTGTTCGCCGAAGCACAGGAGAAGCTATTTAAGCCCATGGCAGCGCAACCGTTGCCGATGAGGAACAAGCTACTGGCTGAGCCCGCGACAATTGCCTACCTCCAGGGCTATCTCATCCTCGGGAATGTTGCAGCGCACATCATAGCAGGCCGGAAATTGCGCTGGAAGCGAGACCAGCATTTGTCACAAGGCATGCGAATCGGCCCAGCGTCATCTCGAGCAACTTCGGGGATGAAGTTGACGGGCATCGATAAGGGCGAGAACATGAAAGAGGAGCGAGAGGTTTCAGATGTGGTCAGAAGCTGGAAAGAGCAGGTTGGGCGACTACGGCATGTCGTATCTGGCGCAAATCAAATCAAGGCGGGCACTCTAGACCGTGGACCAGATTTACAAGAGACGATGCCGGTGAAAACACTCAAGCAGTCCGAGGGTGGTATTCCCGCACGGCAGCCCTGCATGCTGTGTGGACTGAAACGAGAGGAAAGAGTGACTGCAGCGGATATGGCCACGGACGATAGCTTTGGCGAGTGGTGGATTGACCAGGTCAACATGCACAGAGGTGTGTCTATGAAATGGCCGTGATGGAGACGATTGCTGACTATAGACTAGGCTGTAGGAACTTCTGGAACCAGCATAAAGACACACTTCGACATCATTGATGACCTGAAGTCCCCGGATATCGAGGGTGAATGCATGGGTACAGCACACGGCATGCACAGGATAAGTGTTCAGCCAATGGTGTCCTCCGGGGTATGCGGAGCTAATCACGGTGGACGCAACCTGCACGACTTTCTGCATGATGAGCAGAGAATTCAGAGGCCTCCATTGAACAAGTGACATCTGTTACTTTCCACATTCAGTGTGCATATTGTTGCTAGGTGCCGGTAGTGTATATTGTGTTGTTCAGGGCATGCTGTGACGACACCTGGGCATGAACGTCGGCTAGATTGGCGGAACGTTTGCTCTTTGCGCAAAGCGATGGAAGAGGCGGCAGAGCAGCACATGTCAGAAGGAAGGCTAGCGGAGGCTTGTCGGACGGATGATGACAGGTCCGGCTGGGGAAGCTTGTGGGACAAGTGGGATGCGCCGCAAGAAGCATTGTACATGGCAAGCATGGTAGAGACTAGGTTTCAGCTGGGCAAAGCAGATTTGGAGTCTTGTGCAACCTTGACGTCTAGCGTGCGGTGAGGCAGGCGTGGAGTATGATGATGGTGTCCCGCCCCGGTCTATGGTAGATCAGATCTCTGGTAGCGTCGAGGGCGGGTGCATCGTCTGTGCACTTCGCGGGGCCAGCGTAGGCGCAATGCAAATAACGCCGTTGCCGTCTCAAGTCGCATCCATAGTGCGGGCGACGTAACTACATGCCATTCACTGTACACGCCCACTGATCACCGTTGACTCTAGTCCGCTCCACGCGTCGCATTTCTTACTGAACAGCCGCTTCCGTCGCAGGTGATATCCGACCCAAGCCCCATCAGCCCTGCATTCCCCGCCAAAGCCTTTGCACCACCGCCCGCCCGCGCATCTTGCACCCGTACCCCAGAAGCGATACCGCCGCCGCCCCCAACGCGACACCGGGTCAGTACACATTGACTTGTGTGCCTGTAGACCAAGACTGGCCCTCTCGTCGTCATTCGCTGCGCGTAGTCTTACCGAGCCGAGACTTGTGCCCAGGCCTGGGAACAGGCGCTCGTACGCCTCAGGGAATGAGCAGGCCAAATGATCATGGTACGTCAAGTGACCCTCTGCCCCGAGTCGTGATGTCCGCGACTGCCTCCACGGCGTCTGCCTCTGCCGCCGGCGAGATATGGCCCGCTTTGTAAGCTTCACCGCTCAATGCACCCGTGGACTGCGAGAGGAACGGCACCGGGCTGCTGCAGTAGATAATAGACACCCGCCTTGCCTGCCACCTGGATCACCTCCTGCTCTTCTGCATGGATCTGCTTGCTGACGCCCTCACCCCGCCAGGCTCTCTACCAGAAGAAGCACCCTTCGACTCGTTCGCACAGTCGCAGCACCTCTCCGAATATGCCCCGCTGGTCAAGACGAAAAGCACATCCAGCCTGCTGAGCTGGCGGACGGGGCCGCCGCCACCCATCGACACGGCCAAGCGCCTGAGCATCGATGCAGGGCAGCTGGACCGCATGGCCAGGTGAGTGCAACGTGCGAGAGGCTGGGCAGGCAGGAGCTTCCTCCGCTTCGTGGCTAACGGCTGACACATGCTCCAGGTCGCCCATTGTGTCTGAGCATGAACACGGCCTAGGCTCTTCAGGCCTGCGTCGCATTCGCCAACAGCCAGGCCCACGGCAGCTGCAGACGACCCAGCGAGCCGCTTCGTTGAACATCGCGACTCCGCCAGTGTCGAGGCACCCCTCAGAGTCCACGCCCACAGCGCCCGCGTCACCGACCTTCGCCTTTGGCGAGGACCTCACTCGTTTCCCCTCCGAGTCCCTACACTCGTTCTCGTTCGCGACCCAATCCGAAGAGTTTATACACAACCGCCAGAATGTTTTGAAGCGCTCCATTGAGTTCATGCGAGACAGGCTCGGCTGGGCTGCGACCAATCCCGGCATAGCCAACGCTCAAGCCAAACTCAGCGGCGATCAAGAAGTGCAGAGCATGATGGAGCTCCTGACCCGGGCAAACCTCATAGGTCAGGACGGCACAGGAGCCCATGGGCTGGGTGCTTTGGGCCCAGTGACAGGACCCGCCGACATGTCTGGCGAGAACCCATTCGAGAAGGGATTCACAGTCGATCGATCAGCCAGCCCAGAGAGCATGCTCGAAGCATCGAGACCCCCAGTACACAGGGCGACTACGGTCGATGTAGCCGACAACAGCAGCACGTCAGACTCTCGAGAGGGACGAAGCTCATCAAGTACCGACTTGACCTCCGACGCGTCGAGCACACGCGTAGCGGCCGCCTCTCCACCTCCACCCTCCTCGCAGCCTGCACGACCCCAACGAGCCGCACTGAAACGTACCCTCACCGACGTCGCGCCTCTTACGATACAAAGTCAGCTTCACGATGCCTTGGCACAGCCATACCGAGTTGGAGATCAGGAGAAGATCGGGGACCTCGTTTCTCCCGCGAGCATACCGACTCTGCCACCGAGTTTCAGCAATGCACCAGGGCCTCACTCTGCAGGATCAGCGCCGCATGGACACGGGAGCCGACACGCTCCAGCAGCACAGGCCATCTTTACTACCGAGACA